AATCAGCGTCAAAATCTACTTCAAACTCATATTTCATATTAATAAATTACGTCATTTTAAAATTTTTGATAAAAAATATTCAAAGTCGAATAACTCGAAATATATTCGAAATAAAATATTTTCGATTCCAGATTCGAACTCAGCGATAAATTCTACATTGGCTCCATATATAAAACATACATGTAAAATTTATCGACGGTGACGGTGACGATGACGGAGCGACGGTGACGTTAACGGGTAAAAAAGTGCTTCCCTATATAAATTTATAAATTAATGTAAAACAAGCTATCTACTGTAGATTTGTTACTAAAAACTGTAGATAGCTTGTTTTAGCATTAATTTATAAGTTTATATATACGAAATTTGTGTGAATTATAAGATCTACTGGACCACTGGTACGAACCGATTGAGAAAAACTTTTAAAAATTCACTTAACTTTTGGGACAGTAATTAAAATATTCAATAGACTGTACTAGGTTATTTTTAAAATAAAAACAAATCAAATAATATATAACTTTCTTTATTATGCAAATTACATTAATATAAATCTAAAAACTAAACAAAACCAATAAAAAACTCATCATTAAATCAATATAATTAATAACATAACAAAATGTCGTAAATGTGGTCAACAGAAAAAGCCGACACCGAAGAAGTAGTTTAGGCCTCGGCTTTGGAGCCAATCTCGAGGACGCGAGCGATGGACAGCTCGCGGACCTCTTGGGCGGTCAAAACGCTGCCGAACTCGCGCTCAATGGAGAGCTGGACCTCCACAGCCATCAGCGAATCCATACCGAGTTTCAAGAGTTTGGTGTTGGGATCCACTTTCTTGATGTCATCCATACCGAGAATGTGGGCCAACTTCTTCATGAAGTTCTCTTTACCACCGCTGGCCTCCTGTTTGGGCTCACACTTGACGTACGACAGACAACACGCTTTGCCCGACTGTAACAGTGTGTCCATTATTTGAAGACAAGAGGGCATCCGTTGGGCAACCGTTCCGATGACCACCACATCGTCGCGACCCGTATTCCTGACCACAACGCCGACGTCGCCGATGACTCCCCATTGGATGGCGAGAGCGCTGTAGCCGTCGGCCCGACGGACGTCGCAAATGCGGTCCATAATGGCGTTACTGAAGCCGTAGTTGGTTTGGCCGACATTACCGCGAGAGGTGACGCCCGACGAGAACGCCACGAAGTAGTCGATGTCCGGACAGTATTTGCGGCACACGATGTCTAGTGTGAGGAATTGGTCGGACTTTGATTGGCAAACCGTACGGAATGTCTCGACGGTCTGGTTGTCAATCACGCTGTCGGCCAACACCAGCGCTAAGTGGAAAACACCGCCAATTGGTCCCAAACGGGAGCCGATGTTCAACAACTGTGTCGCCTCTTTGGGCAAAGTTAGGTCCAAATCAGTGACAATGTGTATATCGGCGCCCGATTTGGTCTGCAGTTTCTTCACCTTTGACTTCTGGTACGAGTCTCTGAATCCCACGCGGGAAGTGACCAAAAACTTTTTGGCCCCCCTTTCGCACATCCAGTCGATGAGTTCGAGACCGAAACCGCCTAAACCGCCGCTAATTATGTATACTTTGTTGCAGTCGAAGACAGTGCGAGCGACCGCTTCCATGAGCAGCGGCTTCTTCGACATCGGCTGTCCGTTGGGCTCTTCGTCGCGGATTTTGATCACCACTTTTCCCATGTGTTTACCCGAAGACATGTAACGGAACGCCTCTTCGCACTCGTCGACACAAAATATGCTTCTGTCTAACGGCTTAACGGTTCCCGTTTTGATGCCCTCTTCGATCAGTTCCCAAATGCGCTTTCGGTCTCTGAGTACGGATTGCGGTGTGTTTTCATCGGTGGTAAACAACGCGTCCAGAAGAATGCCGTGGAATGACTTGTTTTTGATCATTTCGCTCATATCTGTGGTAAAAGTTTGTGTCAAAAAAATTGTATTTAACGGAAAGTTATCATTAAAACAGTACCCAATCGGCTGTTGACAGACATGTCGTATTTGCCGATCTCGAGGAAGCGTCCGTTATCTGCGAGACACTCAATACTGGCCTTCAGTTTGTCGTCGGAGAGGGAGTTGAGCACCAGATCCACACCTTTACCGCGCGTTTCGTTCATCACATGAGTCTTGAAACTCAAGTCTCGCGACGACGAGAACTGTTTGTCAGTCAGTTTGGGGAACAGCTTCTTGAGGTACTGGCGTTTGGCGGCCGAACCCACGGTTATAAACACCTGACAATCCATACTGAGACAGATATTAATGGCCGCCTGTCCGACGCCACCGCTTCCCGAGTGGATCAACACCTTTTCGCCTCTCTTCAGGTTTCCTCTGATGATCAGCGAGTAATAGGCGGTGGAGTAAACGCAGGGAACAGTCGACGCCTCTTCCATCGACCAGTTGTCGGGTATCGGCCACAGGAAGTCCGGGTCGTCCACAACGCAAGTGGTGGCCAACGCTTTGGACGGAATCATTCCCATCACGCGATTCCCGTTCTCGTCCCGACCCGAGAACTCCAGACCCAGAATGCAGTCATGGAGTGCCATATCTCCGGGCAGAGCGTCCGGCGGGAGACGACCTAAAGTGTGATATTAATTAACGATAATTNCGCTTTGGACGGAATCATTCCCATCACGCGATTCCCGTTCTCGTCCCGACCCGAGAACTCCAGACCCAGAATGCAGTCATGGAGTGCCATATCTCCGGGCAGAGCGTCCGGCGGGAGACGACCTAAAGTGTGATATTAATTAACGATAATTTATAACAAGTAGTTTACAGTTAAAAGTGGTAATCACTGACCGGTGGCTAACATAATGTCGCGGAAATTGAGGGCCGAATAGTATATTTTGCAGAGCTGTTGGTCGTCTCGGCGCCCGTTTGGCCACAGTTTGTGCTGACACTCAAACCACTTAAGGCTCGAGAGATCTCCTTTGTTGCTGTTGTTGAGGAAGCAGTGCTCCGATTGGACAGTTGTGACCATGGGTTTCATGTTTGGCTTATAACAGCCCCAGTGGTTGTCTTTGTAGACATTGTAGACGAGGTCTTTCTTCATCACTTGCGTCAGATTGTGTCGATTCTGTAGATAATCATCGGTAATGCCGTCGTAATTGAATATACATCTGACCCGAACTCCGTTCACTTCGCGCCGCAAACTATAGACCAAACCTAAGATACCATTCTTCGAGGTGTTGTTCGCCACAATCCAAATGTTCTCCCCCTCGGGCTTCGTGTGAATGGTGGCCATCGCTTCCTGAAGTTTGGACAACCAGTTGTGGTAATTGTTGTCCATTTCGATGATCACCTGTTTATCAACATTAATGTCGGCGGTCACTTTGCGGAACAGCATAGCGTTGGCGCCGAATTGGTTCCGATTCCAGCCAATGTACGTCAGGCCACACCTCTCACCCTCAGCTCTAATCCTATTGCCATCCATTGTCTCGGCTTTCATGTCGAGCAGATAACGGATCAACTTCTCGCTCGAAGTGAACCGGTCTCTGAAGACAACCTGGAAGAAGGCGTTGGGCTTCAGCGCGTCGGACGCCGATTGAAACAATTCGGGCAAATTAATGGCGGCGTTCGTATCGTTCTTGTAGATCACCAGATCGTTGTCTTTGAAATCCGTGGGAAGCGTTGAGCTATTCATTGGCCATTCGGTCGCTTTGGTGTCCACCGGGTATCGGGCGCTCACATTGTAGACGAGCTTCACGTAGTACTCGTGCGGGTCCAGCGAGTGGGCGACACTGGGCTGTATGGGGTCGTGACTGTCGCACATCTCCAGCACTTTCATCTCTCCGGGTTTCTTATTGTCGTAAACAGTGATCACTTGTGTGTCGACTAACCACTTGTTATATACGCTACTGAGTAGCGGATCGTCCGGCAGGTCCTCAAAGTATTTGGTCTCTTTGATCGCATCCACGGAGTACTGGTTCAGTGTCTGGATGTCCGACAAAAAGTGGTACAAATACCGATCCTTGCCTTTCAGGGCTTTGTTGTCCAGTTTATCGGCCTTAGGGCTAACGATATGAGCGCTTTTGGCGCCACTTCTGAGCGCTTCAAACTTCTTATGGAGACTGTCGGCCAGTTTGTCGCAAACGGCTCCGTACGGGACCAACTCCGGGGCCTCTTCGGTGAGGGGGCCCTCATAGGGCTCAAACTTGTACTCTCCCGTCAATACTTTACTCACATTGATATTGCGGTTAATGATATTAGTCTTGAGGCCTCTGTACTCGAGACCTTTGGTGACACCGATTCGGGTGTCGTAATCAAACAGGGCTTCCAGTCGCCCTAACAGCGGGTAGCTGCTGTTGAGACGGCTGTTTTGAAAGCCTAGCTTCGCTTAGTATAGCTCAGCCTGCCCTTACTTCTCGGGAAACCACAGGTGAGGCTGCTATGGCTAGACTTAGTATAACTCGGCAAAAGACACCCAATTCTTGGGCCACTCGACCAGCGCTTTCACCTTCCGTTCCTCGACGTAGGCCTCGCTAATGCACTGAAAGGTTGGCCCGTAATCGTAGCCCCGGAGCCGCAGAGCGGTGTAGATGTCCTGCTTCTTGAGCACCAGATTGTCGGATTGGCTGATACGGTAGGAGTTCTCCTCGAGATAGTACTGGTACTCGAGGCCGCGCTTCAACACCTTTACATTGCCGGACTGCTGGTGTCGCAACGGGAGGTAGTCGTGTTTCAATGGCGACCAGCCCAGCTATCACCAGACCTTCAGCTAGAGAAACAACCCGTGTTGCTAGCAGCGGGCTACCTTCTAGTGCAGGGCCTTGAGGATGGGCAGATCGTCGTACTCTGTGTTGTTAAAACTTGCCATATGTTTCCACACCAGCAACAGGTAACCGGTGCCCGGGTATAGGTTGCGGCTGTCGATCACGTGACCGGTTATGTACTGGTCCTCTGTATCCTGGTCAAATCATAGATAATAACAAGTTTGATAATTAAGTACTCAATTGAGTGCCAACTAAACAGATGATATGCTGCAGTTTATAATACTGTTTTACAATCTAGTTAATATAATTTAGTACTATTGTAATAATATAATAGTTGCTGCAGAGTATACGTACCAATAGATTCATCTTGTTTTCCCGAGTTCTAGACGCCTGCGCTGTGCTGAAGAACTCCGGATAAGTGGTGACCACAAACTTCTTCTCGTGAATCCATTTGACGAGCGGTGATATGAATTTAGTGCCGTTAGAGACCNTATACGTACCAATAGATTCATCTTGTTTTCCCGAGTTCTAGACGCCTGCGCTGTGCTGAAGAACTCCGGATAAGTGGTGACCACAAACTTCTTCTCGTGAATCCATTTGACGAGCGGTGATATGAATTTAGTGCCGTTAGAGACCGGGTACTCCACTTTGGGGTAGAGCTTCTCGATGGCCGGATTGAGGCCACAGGCGTACAGTTGTCCGATGGCCTCGAGGACCAGATTCAAGTTGTTATCGTCTTTCCTCATCATCGGTACGTACGATATGTTTGGGCCGAGACTTCGCTTAATGATCGACTGGAGGAGACAGTGGGGCGCGATCTCGACGACCACGGCGTTGGTCGGGATCTGTTTGATGGCTTCGTTGAAACGGATCGGATAGAGGAGATTGTCGACGAAGTAGTTGGAGGTCAACGTCTTGGAGGTGTTGTTGAAGTTGGCGGACACCCATTTGGTGGACATCTTCCGCTGGTCGGACATCACGCTCTTGAGCCGTGCGGTCAACTGTTCGCCGATGGGATACATGAGCGGCGAGTGGAAGGCGACGCCACAGCTGTTGACTCCGGCGGCGAACAGGTTCTTGTCCTTCAGGTATTTGACGAACTCGTCGACAGCCCTCTCGTCGCCCGAAACGGTCACCGAATCGTCGCTATTGTCGCACGCGATGAACACATTGGACGGAACCACTGTTTTGGCCTCTTTGGCGCCCATACCGATGGCCGCCATACGGCCGGCGCAAGACTTGTCACTCTCGATACACTTTCCGCGCCAATAGGCCATCACTATTGTCTCCTCTGCGGTGAGCACTTTGTCGGCGTAGGCGGAGGTCAGTTCGCCGATCGAGTGGCCAACGATACCGTCGGGTCGGACGCCGAGCTCTTCCAGCAAATCGATTAACGCTATCTGAATGGCGGCTATCGTTAGGAATGAGTTGAGGACCGAGTCGTAAATGTTTTGGTTTTCGTCCATCAGTAGTGACCACAAGTCGATTGAGTACTTCTTCATCGTTTGGCACAAGGATTTGATCGACTTCTCGAAACAGTCGATACGGACCAAGTCTTTGGCCATCGCTTGCCATTGAGTGCCCATTCCTGACAGTATAAACCAAACTTCGCGGTCCTTTTCGGTCACTTGTTTGGCGTTAAACGACTTGATTGTGTCCACAGAATCCCGACCCTCGATGAGGGCGAAGCCGCGGCCAGTCATACCTCGACAGGCGGTGTCCGTATTGAACGGCTCGGTCTTCGAGATGTCGTTAACCAACGCCAACAGATCGCGGGTTAACTTCTCGGGCACCTCCAGGAGCTTCTCGAAGAAGTAGTTGACGGCCTTCGGGTCGCGTCCGCACATTGTCACCAAACGGGGGATTTTGTCCACAATCTTGTCGTTGTCTTTGCGGGGCTTAATCTTCGGACACTTGACGATCACGTGTATATTGGATCCGCCGAAACCGAAGTTATTGAGACCGGCGTACGCGCCGGTGAACTTCATGTTGGTGGACACGGGCTGTAGCAGACCCTTCTGGATGCCGTACACCTTAGGGTTGGGCCGGTTGTAGTGGATATTGCCGGGGATCAGCTCGTTCTCGAACGATATGAGCACTTTGGACACCGCGCACAGACCCGAAGAGGCCTCAGTGTGACCGATGTTGGACTTGTGGGCACCGATCATAATCGGTTTCTTGCGGCCATCTATACAGAGCACATCCAACACACAAAAAACAATGACAATTATCTACACATTTAAACCAATCAAAGAGTGGTCACAAACCGGAACACATGGACTCGCAAATGGCGCGCATCTCTTCGGGATCTCCGGCCTGAGTGCCGGTGCAATGGGCCTCAACGTAGTCCACGTCGTGCGGATTGACGCCGGCCTCGGCATAGGTGGCTCTCATCAGATCCCTCTGCGAGTCCCACGTGGGGAAAGTGATGCCCATCTCTTCGTAGCCATCGTTGTTGGTCTTCGTGTGGACGAGTGTGGCGTATATGCGTTTGGCCGCCGGTTTGCGTTGCAGAAGAATGGCCACAACGGCCTCGCCTTTGGCGTAACCGTTGGCCGACTCGTCCAAACACTTGCACCGGCCGTCGGGGGACAACATATTCAGTTTGAAGAACTGGTACTGCATTATGGGATTGAGGCCTAAGTTAATGCCGCACACGAGGGCGCTGTCCATTATTCCGTGTCTCATGTATGTCAACGCCTCGTTGAGGGCCGAGAAACTGGACGCACACGCCGTGTCGATCGCCATCGACGGTCCGCGAAAGTTGAATCGATGGGATATTTGTGTGGCAATGAATTGCCGATTCTCTGGGATCTGTCCGATGGATGAGTAGGCGTTGAGCGTCTCATCGAAACAGTTGCCGATGAAGACACCGGTGTTGCTGCCCGACAGCGCCGACGGCACAGTGCCTGCGGAGGGGGGAGGAGGAGGAGGAGGGGGTGGTGTTAACATGTGGTGACACTGTGTGGTGAACACATACCCGAGTCCCAGATGGCCTCATAGGCGCGCTCCAAGAGTACCCGCATCTGTGCGTCCATACTATTGGGTTCGCTATCGTTGAAGCCGAAGAACTGGGAGTCAAACTTATCCAGATTATCCAACTTTCCCATTCCCATCGGCGTCGCGAACAGATCTGTGGCAAAGTTTGCATTGTTTTACTTGTGATGTTTGAAATGAACATGTGCGTTTATTTTGAATCAAAATATTTGAAAATAATCAAAAATTTTTGATGTTTATTGAATGTTGTCTTTTTTGTTGTACACATTATTTCTCATTGAAAGATGCCTTAAATCCTTAATCCTTTGATTAAATAAAGGCTGACTTTTTTTGTGTGTATAAAGTATTATCAACTCGGTATTAAAATTTTGTTTAAATGGCTTTGACATAGCAAACATATACTCAATTACCACGATAAAGATCATACTGGGTTAATTATAAAATACCTAATTACTTCATATACTGTAACTTCTTATAGCAAAATTTTATAATAATGTATTCAATGTACTGTATTTTACATTAATGAAAACTTTACAGTATCAAACTTAACTTAACTTTACAGCATAAACTTTATTGTATACAGTATTACAATAATAAGAGGGATTAAAGTAAATAAATTGTATGAATACAAGGAATGGGCACAAGAATCGCAATATATTTATGGATTAATTGCAGTAAAATGAATGAAACAATTGGTTTAATGGTTACCTTTTCGCCACCGTTGCTCATCCTCTGTCACCAAATCCTCGTTATTATACAATTTTTTAGCGAATTCCTCGATAGACGAGCACTCTATACATGCATTCAATCATAGAATTAGTTATCATTGATATATTGATTATTTGGGCAGTAATTACGCGGATAGTGGCCAGATATGCCTGAGATGACCACCTCTTCGTGCTCTGGTATGCTCTTGAGTTTCTTCGCCGCCACATCACTGCTCAACGGATACTTGATTTGTCTCATTGTTTATAGCAATTGATTTTCAAGATTTAAAAGATTTTTTTCTGTAAAAGTTTTAAATTCTGCTGTAAATCAAAATTGCGATACGAATTGAGACTATTGTGTGAATGAAGTTATCATTTGATATCTACTATACTTTAAATAGCATTTTTCGGTGTAAAAGGGATAATGATTTACACAATTTTTGTGTTAATTATGGAAAATTGCCCCAAAAATAAAAAACCAAATATTTTATATATAAAAATGTGTACTAAAAATGAAAATTGAATTTTAATGTGTTATT